AAAAAGGGTTATTAGGAAGAGCAAGCAGAAAACAAAACAGTGGTCAGACAAGACAGCTCTGGGCAAACAACTTCAAGTAACCAGTGACCGGGCCAGTAAATAAGGAAGATGCTCTTCCCAGGCATGAGCCAAAAGTTGCACAGCTGTTTTTCTAAGACCAGAGCCTACAAATCTGAAGTACCAAGCATGCCCTGGAGAAAGGAAGGGGTGAATGGTCAGCAGCTACTGGAGGAGGTGGAGGAAAGAGAATGCAGCAGAGGTAGTTGGTCTGAGGGAGAAGGGGTAAGCTTAGGCAAGATAGGAGTGCCGACTTTTTGTATTGTAACCTTTTTCAATGCTTGTTGTGTGCCGGTGGGTAAACAGACAGTGGCTGTTTGGAAGGAGCTGTTCTGAGTCACATTAAGCAGCTGGTCATCACAGGCTCCCACAGGGAAGGGTCTTGCAAGTGCCTCGTGTTAAGGTGGTTGGAAGCAGGGGGCTGCCACCTTGGGGTTCAGTCTAAAAGTGGCAGAAGTTCAGAATACCACTCAGAGGTAAAGGTAGCAAAATATGTCAGCTGAAGGCTGCACTCATGAGGGCCTGCAAAGGAGTACAAAGCACCACTTGCTTTGCAATCATGAGTAGGGTGGGAGAACAGATGCTGGTGCTCCAGTCTAAATAGAGTGAACTACAGAGTTGCTCTCTGGGAGAAGTGCAGGTAGAGTTGGAAAGACACTCTGTCAGTTGGAAAGTGTGTCTATGGAGAGAGCGGGCGAAGAGATCACAGGTGCAGCTCACCCCTGAACCATAACACAGTCCTTTCTAAATACAACACACAGGCATTTTAAAAAAATTGAAGAGTCCTCTTATGTATGTTTTGGAAAACAAAAAAACCAAGGACCTTTAAAAATAAATAAATAAATAATGGAGATATACCTATCTCCTAGAACTGGAAGGGACCTTGAAAGGTTATCGAGTCCAGCCCCCTGCCTTCGCTAGCAGGACCAAGTACTGATTGTGCCCTAGATCCCTAAGTGGCCCCCTCAAGGATTGAGCTCACAACCCTGGGTTAAGCAGGCCAGTGCTCAAACCACTGAGCTATCCCTCCCCTCGCCTTTATGATAGACGTGCTCATTCTTCCACAACCATTTCATTTTATATACGCTGCTATTCAGTTTTTATGCCATCCGCGTCATCATTGTAGGAATGTTTCACTGAATTGGGAACAACCTTACACTGCAGTTTTTTCAGAGTATTTCCTTTTCTCAAAAAGACATGAGATGCCCTGATCAATGTATTTTTTTTTTGTATCTATTTTATATTTGTGGGTTTAGCCAATAAGCTTATGAGATATCCAGATGTCTTTGGCTGCCAGTCAATCTAACCCCATCTTCTTTTTCAATCTGAAGTTATTAAACCTTGCTGTGTGGCATTTTCATCCATTTGGGCCTGTAGAAAGGGTGTTGGGTAAACTGAAGTAGAAGGATACACATTATAACTCTCCTTTGGTTTGAAATATTTGCTACTCCTATTCCTTTATGAATCATAAAAATAGCAGAGGACAGTAAAATTTTATTTTTAATGTTGCCAGATGTAACTCAGAAAATCTCTCCCAACTTGTAAAATGAACACAATGTAATCTTTAGACAATACACTATACAGAGGTATATGGTACGGTCGGGTTTACACCTTCACCAGATTTAGATGTTGTCTCTGCTTGAAAATTGTAAGTTATTGTAGAATGTCTGAAGCGATCCTGGCTGCTCCCTTTAGAGCCCTGGCTAAGCGTTCGCCTTTCATGGTCATGGTGCTGCACCAGTAAATCCAACAGGTGGTTGCTGCTAACATGCCTGGATTGGTACAGTCGCTCCGGGCTAGGAACGTTTCAGACATTAATAATTCACAGCCTCTTCTCCAAGTTTTTCTACAGGCCCAAAAAAGCCTGTTTCCCTCAGGCAGGCGTCACATTGGCCAGGGTACTGTACTAGCAGACCTCCATTTAAATCTGTTCCCCAGGACTGGGATTATCTCAACAATGAGTAAGAAGCTTCTCACCCAATGATTCTCTACTTATAAACGTATAGAAGTGTTTGATCCCCTCAGTGCAGTACAGAATGTTTTGTTTCTTCTAGTATCTGGAACAATCATTTCTTTCTCATCTCTTGTTGGATCAGAGACATGGAAAAGAGGAAGATCGTGGACCTCTGTAGTACCCTACTACACTAGTTTTTGATGTGGAGTTAACTTTTCCCAGAAGGGAGTGAGCACTGGTACAGCCCTCACACATTCAACTCTAGTGCAGGGACTAAACTTCCACATTCAAAGAAAGTTAGACACAATGATGCTGTTGCAGCTAGGCAAGCCAAAGGTGTTAGAGAATCTAGGCTGTGAAATGTTTCAGTGGCAGCCATGTTGGTCTGTATCAGCAAAAACAACGAGGAGTCCTTGTGGCCCCTTAGAGACTAACACATTTATTTGGGCATAAGATTTCATGGGCTAGAACCCACTTCATCAGATACATGGAGTGGAAAATACAGAAGCAGGTATAAATACATGAACAGATGTGAGTTGCCTTACCAAGTGTGAGATCAGTCAGACAATTCAATTAACAGCAGGATACCCATGGAGGAAAAATAACTTTTGAAAGTTGTGAAATGATACCCTAACTTCTCTTATTCTTACCTAGCTAGAGGGTAGAGAGATTTGCAATCATAGTAGATGGATTGAAAAGAATCAGTCATTCTAAATGGAAAGTCTTGGGACATTAAAGGTAAAAATGACTACGCTTGTGCCCTTTTTTTTTTTTTGCTTCTTTATGGTGCATGTTTTCCTCTCCCAACTGCTTTTTTAAACTCAGAAAGTGACAAAGAACTTCAGAGTTGGTGGACTTTGGAGGGAAAGATTTTAACCCAAGCCTTACAGAGTGATAAATTAACAGTATCTGTGCAGGACTATGGATACCTCAGAGACCCCTGTTCAGAGTGCAGCTATAATTAAAAAATACAAAACCAGATGTTAGGATGCATATACAATAGGATGGAGAATAATACCATTATTTACTCGTTGAGTCTGCTCTGGAATAGTGTGTGCAATATTGGTCCTGTGTCTCAAAAATGGAGAGGGTCAGAAAAGGTCTAACCTCTTAGGATGAGACCTTTACAGAAGGCAGCTTATCCCACATCTCCCTGCAAGGAGATTTCCTGCATCTTCCCCAGAAAAAGTTAGTCCTGGCTAGTGTTGGTGATCATACTAGGTGGACCCTGGTTTGACAGTTTGGCAATTCCTCTCTTTCTAAAAATGGCTGCTTTTATCACACACACTTTTTTCATTAGGGCAACACTCTTGTGCTGGGGTCCACTATCACGGTCAACCATTCAGAACTCAACATCCGCATAGGAAATGCTCCCACACCTCTATCTAGCCTGAATAAGAGGGTATGGCAAAACAACAAACTGACAGAACACACAAAGATCTGTGTGTATCGTGCATGTGTTATCAGCACACTTTTGTCTGGAAGTGAGACATAGACCTTATATGCTCATCAGGAAAAGAGGCTCAACAGCTTTCGTAGGCATTGCCTTCGTCGAATCTTTGGAATCTCCTGGAGGGACAGAGTCACCAACACTGAGGTGCTCAAATGGGCCAGCATACCCAGCATGCAAACACTCCTCAAACAGAGGCACCTCTGCTGGCTTGACCATGTGTCCTGAATGAATGATGGGCACATCCCAAAGGACATACTCTACGGTGAATTGGCATCTGGAAAAAGACCCAAAGGACACCCAAAATTGCATTTCAAGAGCGTGTGCAGGCGAGACCTCAAAGAAATGGACGTGGACCAACAGGAAGATCGCACTCAGGACCGCAGCCTTTGGAAACAAGAACTAAACAAAGGTCTCTGGAGTTATGCAAGGAAGCTGTCCAGCTTAGCAGAGGAGAAAAGAGCTTGCAGAAGGCAGAGCCCAAAGGGTTGAAACATCACCTTTAAATGTGACAGATGCAGCAGAGATTGTCTCTCTCGAGTGGGTCTCTTCAGCCGCGGTTGCCATAAAACCAACTGAGTAACCAATTCATTACCTCTCAGGGGCGCATACCCATGGTCTCTCGAGTCTGAAGGATGCCTACTACTTGGAACAGCAGCAGCTGCCACCCTTCAGAGGAAAGCAACACTTCACTCAATACTGCCCAGAACTTTTTACTACAGTGAGACTATGGGAAAGGAGACTTGACTCAGCGCTAGGCCAAGACTCCCACTCCTACTGGAGATTGAAGAGGGCCTATAGTATATGAGGAAAACCCTCCAATATGGCAGGGCAGATGGAGTTCTCGCATTGTGTAGCTGGTTTTCCCTACAGGACCTTTGTCCTTGCCTGACTTTAGGCAGAGTTTGCTCCCCCTCTGCAAAATATGGAGGTGGGCTACTTCCCATTCTCACTGGAGTGAAGGAGTCTGATCCTATACTAGGATGATTCAAAGTCTGATTCATTGCTTCATGAAGAGCAGACTTGCATGGAAAAGCTTCTGTGCATCTAATGCATAGTCTCCCCCCAGCCTCTCGAGGGCGTCAGAGTGGTCAGCTATAAAGGCTATAGGATAACTAGTCAGATGGTACATCTACACTGTGATGTAGGGGCATGATTCCCAGCTTGCATACACATTGAGCTAGCATGAGTATAAATAGCATAAACAGGAGTGGCATGACTTAAAGGCCTGTCAAGTACAAAACAGCCTGAAACTGGTGGGTATGTACTCAGTCCCGCTTGCCGCTGCCCATGTTTCTTAACTACATTGCCATTTACACTCTCACTAGCTTGATGAGAGTTAGAGTATGTGAACGTGAGCTGGGAATATCAACTGGTAGAGTAGTTGCAGCCTGTACCGAATCTGATTTATTTTCTGGACAGCCAGTTTAAAGGTGGATCCAAGGCTCGCGCGCGCACACACACACACACACACACTCTAGAGAACTTGACAGTGGATGAGTTGGTGTTTTAGTGATGATAGGAATCCATTCTCCCTTTTGCACAGTTGCTGTTATTGTACACTGACAGGTACAGGAAAGGGAGACCCCTTCCTTCGAGTATCTAGTTTAGATTAAGCTTGTGCCAGCACTAGATGCATCAGTATCCAGGCTGAGAGTTTGTACTGAGAGAAGAGAGCACAGCCTATTAAATTTTACAGGGAACAAACCATAAACGTGGGGATCCTGTTAGGCACATGTTCTGTGTATTTATTTATTTACAATAGCTTGTGTGTATTGAAGCAATACTTTTAGCTGATGTTTCAGATTTGCACTTTACCCTTCATGAAAATCAGTTTATGAAGTAATAATAAAGCAGTTATGATCAGACACAGGAGGAGTCCAGTGGACAGCAAGTTTGTGTGTCAGCATCTGGAAGAGAGGAAAAATGTTATTTTGTTGCTTGATTTTTGTAGAGCTCTCCAGTAGAGGAAACATGACACTTGATATACTAGTAATTTGCGGTTCATCAGTCTTGCAGTGCTGAGTCTGAGAGTTTGGTCTCACTTCTAGCAAGCCATAGTTCTGATCACCTTCAATAACAGATAGGGCTAGCTTACTATGTGTTTGTACGTTACCTAGCACAGTAGAGCGCCAACTAAATTCAGAGTCTCTAAACCCTATTGTAAATACATGTAGATCAACTGATCAGTGAATTCTGGCTGCTAGAGAGAGTGATTGTATGAAGCTAGTCCTTCACCGAGACAGAAGAAACTGTAGGTTGACATTTTCAATTCAGTCTGGGGGATTAAGATATCTCTTCCATTAAAATGGGAGGTCTGTCTAAATGTACACATCTTTTTCTTTTGTGGCATTTTCTACTCCAGTTAAATGGGGATATTGTGTAAATTGGGCCTGAAGCTTAGTTGAAAATGTTGAGGTCCATGTTTGTTTGGCTACGAGCCAGTTGTAAATTGTATAGATCAGGGGTCGGCAACCTTTCAGAAGTGGTGTGCCAAGTCTTCATTTATTCACTCTACTTTAAGGTTTCACATGCCAGTAATACATGTTAACGTTTTTAGAACGTCTCTTTCTATAAGTCTAGAATATATAACCAAACTATTGTATGTAAAGTAAATAAGGTTTTAAAAATGTTTAAGAAGCTTTAAAATTATTTTTTTTTAAATGTAATTCCTTTAAAATTAAATTAAAATGCAGAGCCCCCCGGACCGGTGGACAGGACCTAGGCAGTGTGAGTGCCACTGAAAATCAGCTCGCGTGCCACCTTTGGCACACATGCCATAGGTTGCCTACCCCAGTATAGATGAATACAGGCAATAAGCCCCAATGTTCTCACCTAGTTTAGTCGTGTATGTTTTTCTCCTCAGTTGGTTGAGGATAAACAATCCAGACTGGCCCAGCCAGTACATAACCGTGGATACCAGAATATGGGTCAGAGTGCTGATCTAGAAAGTTTTACAAGATTGTTATTGACAGAATAAAGGACCATAAATACTGTAGTCCGACTGGCTTTAAATCTACTGAGATTCTGAAGTTGTCAAGTACTAGTGTTTTACATTATCAGCTCAAGGTCACAGGAGTCAGTTAGTATAGAGGATCAAGTATCAGAGGGGTAGCCATGTTAGTCTGAATCTGTAAAAAGCAACAGAGGGTCCTGTGGCACCTTTAAGACTAACAGAAGTATTGGGAGCATAAGCTTTCCTGGACAAGAACCTCACTTCTTCCTCACACTTGGAAGAAGTGAGGTTCTTGCCCACGAAAGCTTATGCTCCCAATACTTCTGTTATTGGTGCCACAGGACCCTCTGTTGCTTTTTATAGAGGATCAGAGTTTTAAAGCTATTTAGGCACCTTGCTACCTTTAAAAATCTAGCCAGAGTATTTTAAGCATGGCCAAATACCCCCAGTGTAAACCTACCCATCCTCTTCCTGTTAGGGTCACACCAGCCTCCACAGGTCCAAATGTTGCCAGATGATACTTTAGGAGGAGAGCAAACTGTGACTGTGCAGTGCAAGTGCACCTGAGAAGAAAGGAGAACTACTTGTTAGTATGGGATCTATTTGCTTTTACTTTTCACCTACCACTTACCAAACCTACACTTGTAAAGTGTACCTACCTATAATCTCTCCTACTATCAGAGTGGGCATTGGATTTCTACTTCTGTGCTAAGGATCTTTTTATATGAAAGAGGTTGAGACAGGACCCACTAGCCATGCAGAGGCTGTACAGAAACTGAATCTATAGTGCCAGGTGTGGCTGCCTGCTTTTTAAAAAGTTCATGCCAAAATTGCCTCATGTTGGTTTCCAGTGAGTTGAGGGGGATGTTGCCTGAGGTTGAAATGGCAAGGTTGTTTTTTGGCCTGGTTACTTAAGGCAGCTACTATCAGTGCTAGAATCCACTCCGTTTAGAATGGGAAGAGCTACTGGCAAGGCATCCTAAGGTGAACAGCTCTTGACTGTCACCTGTTTCCTTCCCTCACCAGGCTTGCCAGAGGCACAGGTTAGCATTTTAGGCATCCTGCCAATCCACCTTTTCCTCTGCCCTCCCCACTAGCCAGGCATTTAAGTGAACTGTTGGAGGGGATGGGATAAATGCAAGTGAGCTGAGTGGTATTTCAGATGGCTGTTACGGCACATGCTGGTTTGCCTGGTTGACTTTGTGCCAGATATTTGAGGTTTTTTTTTTAATTAAATGGAGATATCCTATCTCCTAGAACTGGAAGGGACCTTGAAAGGTCATCGAGTCCAGCCCCCTGCCTTCACTAGCAGGATCAAGTACTGATTTTGCCCCAGATCCCTAAGTGGCCCCCTCAAGGATTGAACTCACAACCCTGGGTTTAGCAGGCCAATGCTCAAACCACTGAGCTATCCCTCCCCCCGAGTTGAAGCACCAGGAGTCTGATCCTGTAAAAAAAGTCAAACTGTATGAGTTATATTTCCATACCAGGCCCTTTAGTTTACTCCAGCAAGTGCCACTTTAAATCACTAAAGCTGTGCAAGGCAAATTTTGGCTTTTGAGGAACCAGCCAAACTAAAGTGCACATCAGTCAGGCTTATTGGTCTGTCAACAGTTCCTTAGCTGGCTAGGTCATAAGCTCAGTGTTACCCTGAAGACGCTTAAATTGGGCCTCTTTTCAGAGAGGAAGTTAGGTTAACACTTTAAAGTTTGTTCCTCAGTATAAATATATTTCCTCAGTTTAGAGGATACAAGTGTTAAAGTATCATTTCACAGCCTAGATTCTCTAATTTCTCTTAATCTTACCTGTCCCAGCAGAGGTATCAGCATCCTTACTGCCAGTCTTTTAAAGTGAGTGGGATGTTTCACTCTCCTACTAACAGATACTGGATAGAACTCTGTAACACATTTGTTGTTTTCGTTCCCACAGCTATTTGAGAGATTAGAGCAACAGCACAGTTAGAAGTGATCAAGATGCTTCTCATGAACAGTTTTGTCATTTAAGCTACTTCTACTTGCCCATCCACAGTAATGTTCCATTGTGAGGTGCTTTTGAAGTCTGAAGACCAAGTCATCCAGCAGTTATTCAAGTGTAATTCAACATTGGGTTCCTCATCTTTTAGCTCTACCTCAAAAAACATGGGCTCCAAGGAAGATTTAACTATTGTCAAATTTGGTTCATAAAGTTCCATGAAAGATTCATCTTGAAAAGAATGGGTTTGGGGATTTTGTTAATCAATTTAAGACTCATTTGATACTATCCTAGTTTTCAAAGAAGGAAGCTTACCTTTGGATACCCTTGCGATTATATTCAGAACTTGTCTGGTCCTTCTGTGTCCTACAGGAGATAAAGTTAAGGATGGGCTTTTATAAGAAGCCTTGAGATAAGAGTGCTTACAACTACTAGAGTCACACAAATGTTTTAAACTGGACGGTGGGGGGGGGGGGGGAGAGAAAAGAGTGATCTACCTGCAACACTTGATCTCAACATCATTGTACCATAGCCAAAACGAGGGGATCCATTTGTAGGTAGATCGCTAACCATAGCAATATGCATCAGTCTCTCTTTTGTTGGGTAATAGCACAAGACTGTCAATCTACAATAAGAGAATTATTGTAGACACTTTCCAGGCACGATCACTATACTGAGTGGAATCAGTGAGTAGGAGGAGTCCTACCTATAATCTGGATCTCTTGTGATTTTAGGTGGTCCCCATGCTGGGAGAATCTCTTTCTCATAAGATATTTCATTTTCATAAATAATGTGATCACCTTCAAACTGGGCAAGCCAAAAATGGATTAGAATTTGAGTTTACTCAGAGAATAATAATAATAAAAAAAAATCAACTCTTCACAGTTGCTTACCTTTAGTGAAGTGCCGCAAGTGGAGACATGGAACTGGAAGAAGGCTTGTTCTTCATTAAATTCTTTGGGCTTGCAGGTGCTGTCTTTCAGTTTTATTTTGCCCATATCAATGGAAGGAATAGTCTTCATTGGGGCAGATACTGTTACAGTTCCATTAGGGTAGCACACTAAGAAAGTCAGAGAGGCTGTTAGATTCAGGAAAGCCATCAAGTTCCATGCTGTAGCTCAAGACCTATATAGCTTACCTATAAATTCTGAAGAATTAAAATTGCAGCTCACAGAGAATATTTTTATGGTCTCCAAAGTATTTGCTTTCCTGAGTGCAAGATCAAACCTAGTTTTGAGTCTCTGAAAGGACACTTCCTGTAAAGAAAGTGACAATATTTCTCCTGTGAAAATAGTTTACTGATCAGAGAGAGACTGCTCTCTTTAGTTTGATGCTACTTTAAACACTAGCAAAGATAAAAAAACATTTGAGACAAGCGTGAAGACTTAAGCCTGGTCCAACCTGGGTCATAAGTGCAAGTTTACTAGTACTTGTTAGGCCTGGTACCAGCTGCATACATTTTGACTGGCTATTGTAGAGTAGCCTAGATGTGTATTATAATCTAGATTTTTACATGGGCTAAATGCAACTTTAGCCTAGTCACTCTGTTAGCAGGAATCCTTTAGCAAGAATCATGTTTCAACATGGTGCCTGACCCAATATGGACAGGACATTTGTCTTAACACCTAACAATTTTGTGTTTGCTTCATATGCATGGGGACCACTTGAGCCATTGCACTGGGTAAACGAATGCAGTGGAATCATAGGTCAGGAGTCAGATCTCTTGTTGTGGTTGTGTTTACTCTACTTATTGGAAAGTAATTTATTTCCCCTTGATATTTTCTGCATTAGAAGTGGTTACTGTAACATTACAAGACAAGCTTGGGAGTGAAATGCCTTTCCTTCCTGATAAGAAATCTTTCAGATACCAAAGCCTTACAATGTAGTCTACATACCTCATAGATAATCCCCATAGTAAACAGAGGTACTTGCAACACCAGATGGGTAGAATTGGTCGTCAGGAGATACCTATTTGAGAGCACAGTTTGCTGATTCAGAAGTTTGTTACCAACATACAGGTTCCAGTACTGATTCAGAGCTGAAACGGGAACTGCTAGATACAGGTTCTCTTTATCACAGTAACCAACTGCTTCTGGTAGTTCTGTGAAAGAAGCCAGGACATAGATTGGACATACAGTTTTAGTTACGGCATTAATTCTTATCATGGAGAAATCATTTGTATTGATACTACAGATTGTATTAGATACCTAGTATCATTTTAGACTGCAAGGTATTGCATCCAAGACATGGCCAAAAGTCCCAGTTGATTAGCAACTGCCTGACTAACTTCAGGCTAAACTCCAACTTTGGTAAGACTAGTGGGGCTTTATTTTATCTCAGCCTCCTTTCACCTCAACTCAAAACATGTTTTCTAAGATGAAGGCACTATAGTCAGAAGGATGTGTAGCCGGGTGCATTGTAAAACCCAGAAGTTGGAGAGAAAGTCAACTACTAAGACCTACAACTTGGCAATCTGATCTACTTTGAGCAATTTTGCCATTTCTAGAGTTTACAGAGCTGTGTCTGGGCCAGTTGAACTTTACCCTGGATGTAAAAGCTGGGTGATTTCAGCTTGTCCTAATGTAAATATCTGAAAAATGTTACCAGTAGATGCAATGATACTAAAGTTGATTGGATTTGGCTAGCCATTTCTTTTAAATGTGGTGCCTGACCCATGACTAGGTTTTTATTGCTTATAGCGTCTCCAGGGCAGATAATTAGACGTGACAGAATGAAGAACTGCCATCTGAAAAGCAGCAAGCTAGCTATATTGCCAATACTGAGCAATAATAGAGTGGGATTTTTCCAAAAAGCTCTCATCATTGGCCTAATTTAGTTTCCATTGGAAATCAATGAAAATCCTCCCCATACTATACCAGTCTCAGTCAGTCAGTACGGGAGGAAGCTTACCAATATCAGCAACCACACATTCTATTTCTGCTGGATGATTATATGGTTTCATTTCAGGACCCACATCTAAAGTATAGTTAACACGGAGGGTATATTTTGTTTCATTTCTATTCACATACTGAAAGAAAGAAGAGAGTGAGGTGTCAGCAGCATTTGCTTCCAGCACAGACAAGAATGTATTTGCTGGGCATACATACATTTGTTCCCCACAACAGAAAATGACATTGATCTTACTGCTTCACATAACAGCTCTGTATGAGCTGGGCCAAGACTGTGTTGAAGTGTTTGCATTTAACCACACATTTCAAAACACAAGGACGTTAGATCACCCATCTAAACTTATGCCCTTTTACAAACTTGTGCTGCAAACGTGCCCAGTTCCAGGCTTCCACGTCTTCTTGTAATCGGTCTAGTATCTGCTCAAGTCACAGTTTGAACTGCATTATGTAAAAAGCAGGTTCATGAATGGCTGGATGTTTGTTGGACAAGGAACAGATCACTTTGTTTTTCTAAGTTAGGCAGTCCTATCACGACAGGCAGTTATTTAATAGATTGGATAAGATCCTGCTGCTGAACAATGTGTGCATGACTCCTATACCTGTTAACAGAAGCATCGGAAGAAGCCATAGTTTGTAGGTCATTTAGTCACACCTGAAGTTGCATTTTGGCCATAGTCCTATACCGGGCAGGACAGATGATCAAGACTTTCTAAACAGAATATTAATTCAGATCAGGCTAGTGATACCTTCGTTGACGTTGCATGGTTGGTGGTTATTGGTGCCAGATGTATGTTTTGAGCAATGGCTGCCCTAACATGTTCACATGACAGTCATAATGTGTCATGATCTCCCACATCATAGCAGAGCTGGTTGGGAATTGTCCAAAGTGGTTTTTGCTGGAAGTTAAAATGATGATTCATCAACCCCAGAACTGTTTGCAGGAAAGGGTTGGTTTCAATTAATTTTGACTCTAAAGTTTTTTGAAGTGTCAAAAAGTTTGTTTTTAAATGTAGGTTGTGTCTACCCTACAACCTAGGGGTGTGATTCCCAGTTAGCATGCACATACTTTCACTAGTGAGTATAAATAGTAGTGAAGCCACAGAAGGATGAGCAGCAGCATCCTGAGTGCAAACCCACCTGAACCCCCTGGGTACCTAAGTGGTACAGCCAAGCCATGCCACCACTCTCATTGAGCTAGCATAAGTATATGTATATGAGCTGGTAATCACACCCCTAGCTTGTTGTGTAGCTGTAGCATGATGTTAAATTATAGTACATGTAAAATGGTTGAAACCAAAGTGAGGCATTTGGGGTTCATGAAAATTTGAGATTTTTAATTTTTGTCCTGAAAGTTTCAATATCTTGAAAATTTGTGGGACGGGAAGAACAGTTTCCTACTGAGTGCTACATTGTAGCTACCTTATCTTACCTCCTTCAGAACAGCAGGATCATCAAAAGGCACTTCTAAGTTAAATCCCTTTGTTCCATTGGGGAAAGTAATTTCATAAACTTTGTACCCATGACGCTCTGCCTCTCTTGGAGAAAGTGGCACATTTCCTATTGTGATTGTCACCAGAGAGACGTCAGGAAGAAAAGATCCAAATGCAACATCAAATGTTCTCTTCTCTGGAAGAGTATCTGTTAGGTTGATAGCATATAGTTACTGCAAATGCTTATCTATTACTGTAGGACAGTTAGAAGCCTCCCATTTTGCTGTGCTCAAGGGAGCTTATCTAGAGGTTAACTCTTAATGGCTCTATTATTAATGTTCTAGTCTGAGATACTCTGATTACATAGGAATTTTTACCCCAAGCGATAGAAGATTAAATATACAACACACACTTGAAGGAATGTAAGTGTAATTACTTTCTAGAGATCTATTATAAGAGTCCAATGACATCTCTGTGTTACAGGCAGGGAATCGAGACTGAACAGATATTTGGAATATGTAATAAGGTAGTGCTACTACATTAAAGCATCTTTTTTATTTAAAAAATAAATTATCCAGGTAACTATAAAGATGTCAAGTCATAATGATGTAACAAGAGATGAGCTTTTGAAAAACGGAGTGGCAAGCACTCTACTCCAAAAGTAATGATTATAGGCGTGAGGTTGGGAGGATGAGACATCCCTCCTCATTTGATGCATCCCGCAGACATTCTTTCCCTACAGTTGGTTAGTCACACTTTGCATGATCTTTCCCATTGGGCCACACTTAAAGGCTCAATGGAAAACATTGGTGGAATTAGGGCTTTTCTTCACTACAGGCTAAATCGGCTCTGCTGTGATTGATGCAGCGGTGTCAATTTAATGGGTCTGGTGAAGTGCTCTCCCGTCGACTTCAGTACTCCATCTCAACAAGAGACGGAAGCTATGCTGACGGGAGACACTCTCTGGTCGACATAGGGCGGTGAAGATACAGCTGTAAGTGGTTCTAAGCTTACGTGACTTAAGTCAATGTACTTACATAGCTTAAATAGAGTAATTTAGATCAATTTATCACGTTAGTGTAGACAAGACCTTAGAGTGGCAGAATCTGGTGTTCTAATCAGCAACTCGCATCAAATCCCTAGTGATTAGTCTCCATTTTGCCCCTTATTTGCAGATCTTAACCATAAGGAAGTATCTGCATGTAACAGAATTGTTTAGTTTTATCAAGATTTAGATCTAGACATTCACGTCACCTGACAGCTAGCTAGCTAGCTAACTAAATTAAACTTCCCAGTTAAGTGAAGAATTTTGGTTGGTATAAGTTCACAGCAGAGGCAACACTAATAACTCAGAGACAAAAGAAAGATGAGCACCATCTTATTATTGAGCTAGCCAGAGGAGTGACTTACTGTTGATGACTGTTGGTATTCGAGGCATGAAAGGTGTAGTGATGGGCTTGATCACAGTGTACTTAGTCATATGCCAATCTACATCTGTCCAAGTGTGCTCCAAGAATAAGTCGATGCTATAGATTATGCCATGGACTCCATTGGCTACAGTGCTCTAGGAGACAAGATTTTAGACATACCAAGTAGTATTGAGCATGGATACAGCTGCAGGTTTTGTCTTCTGTGCTCCAGGTCACAGTGTCTGACCCAACCCTCCATTATGATTGGAGGGATGTCTTCCATTTTGTCCTTTAACTTTGGTAATTTGCTAGGGTGGGCCATCATTTTCAGAGTAGAACTGGCTTGTGTTACCTTGCACCAAGACAGTTTGTATCCTACAGACACACTGCAAAGTTAAAACAATGAGGAGTCCTTGTGGCCCCTTAGAGACTAACAAATTTATTTGGGCACAAGCTTTCATGGGCTAAAACCCATTTCATCAGATGCATGGAGTGAAAAATACAGTAGGTAGCTATATATATTACAGCACATCTTTTCATGTGCTGTAAATAAATACATACATATTATATATATATATATATATATATATTATATATATATATATACACACATATACATACACACACACCTGCCTACTATATATTTCACTCCATGCATCTGATGAAGTGGGTTTTAGCCCACAAAAGCTTGTGCCCAAATAAATTTGTTAGTCTCTAAAGGTGCCACAAGGACTCCTCATTATTTTTGCTGATACAGACTAACACGGCTACTCCTCTGAAAACTGCAAAGTTAGGTTGCTGAAGGTGATTAGCAGTCTCATCAATATCAAATTTATAACAGCCGTTAAGAATTTTAGATAGTGTCTTGTAGAAAGGCTGTTAGGTCTCTTCTGCAGCCATCTAGAACCATTCTTTGCATGTATATTTGTTTGGTAATAACCCACCCACCCGTCAATTCGTCATTCTAATGATGATTTTCAGAATCCAGTGCAAGTCAAGATAGATGCCTAAAACACAGATTGTATGCATGGCATGTGTAAGGTGTGAAGCTATGTCAGTCTGTACTTCTAAGAGCTGCTTAGTCCAGCAAGGGAGGGTTAGCAAGGTCTTTTAAGCCACAGAGACAGAATAGTAAATTGGCAGATTATCCAAGGGAGACATTCTTGCTTTCCTCTTGCTTTGTAATTCTGCACTCACCCTTGCTTCCTGGATAGGCCCTTTCAGAGCAAGAATACATCATTAAGAGACTGTTAACAAGATAATTCTTGTTAACTATATGAAATTTTAGATCCAGATCTTTTGCAAACAGAAAGCTTGAGAGGAAAGTGTTCTGAAGGCAAGAACTATTACTCCACGGGTCCATACTTCAGCATGGACTATTTTTTAAATGAATGGACTCATGGGCCCACCTCCTCTTCCATTCCTCAATCAATCATAGAAATGTAGGGCTGGAAGGAACCTGGAGAAATCATCAAGTCCAGCCCCCTGCACTGAGGCAGGTCAAAGTAAACCTAGACCATCCCTGACTGGTGTTTGTCCAACCTATTCTTAAAAACCTGCAATTCTGGGGATTCCACAACCTCTCTTGGAGCCTATTTGAGAGTTTAAACGACCCTTACAGTTAGTAATTTTTTCCTAATATCTAATCTAAATCTCCCTTGCTGCAGATTAAGCTCATTATTTCTAGTCTTACCTTCAGTGGACCTGGAGAACAATTGATCACCATCCTCTATACACCAGCCCTTAGCATATTTGAAGATTATCAGGTCCCACCCCCCAAATCTTCTTTTCTCAAGACTAAACATGCCCAGTATTTTTAACTTTCCCTATAGGTCAGGTTTTCTAAACCTTGTATCATTTTTGAAAATAAGTACTATGTTTTCCTTTCTCCAGTCCTCTGGGACCTCATCCATCTAGATGAGTTCTTGAAGATAATTGCTAACAGTTCCAAGATTGCTTCAGTTAGTTCCTTAAGTGCCCTACTACAAATTTCATCAGGCCCTGCTGACTTGAGTAATCCAATTTATCTAAATATTCTTTAATGTGTTCTTTCCCTATTTTCGCTTGCATCCCTTTCCCCCTTTTTGTTAGTATGAATTGTGCTGAGTATCTGGTCACCGTTAACCTTTTAACGGAAGTCTGGCCCAAAATAGGCATTCAACGCCTCAACCTTCTTGATGTCATCAGTTAGTAGCTCTCCTTTCTTGCTAACTAAAGGACCTACACTTTCCTTCATCTTTCACTTTCTCTAACATATATAAAGAACCTCTTCTTGTTGCCTTTTATATCCCTTGATTAGTGTAACTCGGTTTGTCCCTTAGTCTTTGTAATTTTGTCTCTACATATTTGTGCTATTCTTTGGTACTCCTCCTAAGCAATTAGTCCACATTTCCACTTTTTGTAGGATTCCTTTTTGAAGCAACTCTATCACCTCTGTGGATCCACAGCAGTATTGAAAACAATCCTAAATATTTTTTAGTCCCATGTAGGGGAACCTCTGCTAGTGAAAAGCTGGCTCTTTTGCCTTCTACATCAGCTCCCAGCTGCCCAGCAGAATGAGGAGGGCAGTTGGGGGAATGGAAGAGTGAGGACCTGCTATGGCAAATTCTTTGCTGGCATCATATGCATTGCACTTGAAGCATCAGAGGGCAGCTTCAGCATAAACTTATATTTGGGCAGGCAATCAAAAATCATTGACTGGCTTCCTGTTACCTTTCTTCAGCGCACCCCAGCTTTGCTCAAGCTGAGAGAGCTCTTGAGCCCTTAGTATATTTTTAATAGTCCTTTAATCCAGTTTAATATCGTGAAGAAGCTAGCATCATGCAACCCATCTCAACCAGCAACTGCTCGATTGACCACTGTTCGGAAGTCTCTGATCTCCTCCATTAGTCTCCAGAGGGTGTTAAATTACGATAGGTTCTCACTAACCTTTAATCTGCCCCCAGTTGCTCCAATGGGGATAGTCATTTGAATGTGTGTCTTGTTATGTTCCAGAATATAATTCTGTTCAGGGTGCATTATTCTTTGGCCATCAACTCCCACTGAAATGTTTTTGGACACGAAGGTGGGTTCTTGAGGCACTAGTGTAGGGATAATGCTTGGCACAGTCCAAGTTATAGCAGTATCAGTGAAGCTGGTGCCATCTGTTGATTCAGATAACCAGAAAATCAAACCATTCTTCAGTGCAAGAGTTTGTGTTTCCAAGGAAACAGGATTGAGCTTCATTCTACAACAGCTGCTACCCCCTCCTGCTCCTCTTTACCCCCGCAACCCATTCCATCCAGATACTTCTATGGCCATCCTAGAGCATGGAAGTATGGCATTCAAAGTAGTCTGATCAGTTTCAGATGAGTTACTACCTTCTTACAAAGATACCCACTAACCATGTTAGTTACCTACCTCTTAAATCCACTCCCTCTTAAATCCACTCTCCATCCCCCCCCTTCATGTTATGCAAGAAATCCCACCTTCTGCTGGTGTTACAACTCTGCATATGCATTATCTAAATATGACTCCTGGCCCAGTGGTAGAAATAGGGTTTTTCTGGTCTTGATACTCAATTGCAGGACAGTCTGATGTAGCTTTTTTGATGGCTTATTGCCTTTGTGTAAAGGTGTGTATAGGAATAAGAGAGAAATGAGAAAATGAATTAAGCAAATCGTACTTTGGAGCACATCTAGGATAGGTTTGTTTTTACATTGCTTCTCTTGAAGAGCCAGCTGCAGCTAGGCCCAAAGGAAGAGTTTTCTACTAGCTTGCTCAAGTAGCTATTTTTTGGTACGCTTGGTAAATTGTGAAGTGATACTTACCGATAGGACATGAGACAGTTGTGTCAATCAACAGAAGCAGCCACCTCTGCTTGTACATAGAAGTGGAACTGACTATGTTCATACTCACACCATTAACCTATGAAAGTTAAGAAAAATTGTTGCTAGAGAGAGACTGGAAACAGTGCCTTTCAGTCCCACTACAAGAGCTACCACTCACCACGGCAAGTTTAGATTCATTAGTGGAATATGGAGCACGGAGGAACACTCGAGCCAGCGTATTATTGAAGCTGTAACCCAGTTTGGCTGCGTCGCTTACCATTATTTTCTTTCTCCCTGAAGGAGAAAGAAAGATCAGTTGCCATACCTGGTATTCAACTTTTTGAACCTGAAAGAGAAACATGGTTCGATGAGATACAGGTGGACATGTGACCAAATTATTCTGCCATTAAAATTTAGACTAATGGAAGTGGCATTTGAGGACACTGCTAGCCTATCCCAGGCCAGAAGTGTACATGCCTTACATGAAGGCAAGGCAGCGATTGCAGGCATCTCTCAGAGAAGCCATATTGTATTTACCTTTGGAGGAAGCTTATGTCTGTGGCCCTGAAAGAGTCCCCACAATTAAGAAGCCCTTAGTGCTTTAGGACACTGTGACTCAACCTTTTTGATACCAAGGACCAGCTTGCTGCCTTCCTAAACTGTGGCAGGGAGATCTCAGGGACCAGCCTGAGCCCATAGACCGGTCACTGAGAAACGAAGTGGGCATTCACCTACAAAAGCTTATGCTCCAATACATCTATTAGTCTTAAAGGTGCCACAGGACTCTGTTGCTTTTTACAGTTCCAGACTAACACGGCTACCCCTCTGATACTTGACTACTTGTGTGTGCTAGTACTGTTAGAGCAGCCTAGAGATCAAATGCCAGACTACTTTAAGGAGTACAATTTATAATAAGTGGCCATGTTTTGTTACTGCATCCACTTTTCTCCCCGGCAGTCTAGCGAGCATGTTGTGATTTGCTCAGTATTCCTTATCATCTATGAAAGTTTTCCTCTCCTGGAAGGTTGACTTGCATCTATGTCTGACAGAGCAGCTCTACCTCATACACATTTCTAATAGAGCTTTTAGGCTGACAGAGATTGAGCCAGATGCCAAGAATGACAGCAGCATCACCCAAGCCACTGATTTACCATGATGGAGATTAAAGAGAAGCCATTAGAAAACATGCTCCTCCATACCTCTGGCAGAGCGGACAGCCACGTTGCAGTGTCATCGTCTGAAATTGCAGGAACATCACTCTTCACCGACACCTGGAAGTAGAGCAGAGATGGGCAAACATGAGCTGCAGCATGCTTTTATAGGTATCGAGGAGGCAGGGAGCTTTGGAGGAATTTTATTAGTGTCTCAGTTACACATGGAACATATGATCAGGCTACATTTACAGGAGGTTAGTGACAATCTTCATAGCCAATTGTTGATTACTATGAACTGTGTGTTCTTAAGGAGAGGGCTAACTTTATAGTGTTTTAAAGAGTACAGCAAGGGTTTGTAGAAGACAGCATGAGTTTGGAACTCAGGATCTAGTCAGTTAAACCAAAGTACGTGTGATGCTTTTGCTGTTAAACATCCAGGATGCAATGCTAACCATCACTTACCATACAGGAAGTCAAGGTTTGGATTCAGTAGTAGTAAATTGCTGCCACTCCATAAGTGTAGCGTAGCGTTCACCATTGGCACCAGATATTTTAGGAGGAGGCTGAACAATCTCAAGTCCTAGAAGACTCACTATATCGCTGCAGCCTTGCCCCTGAGATAATTATGTGACCAATACATAAAAGGAGGTATACGAAGTTGGCTTATGTTTGGAACTGGTGCAAGGTTCTACTGTGGCAGTTGGATGCGTGTAACATAGCGTCTGACATCTCCATCAGGACGTTGGCCTCCTTGCTGATAAAATCCCTGAGATGCACCAGAATTTCAGTCTTGTAAAATAAAGGGGCCTACCCCCAAACTTTACCATTCCTGAACCAAGAGGGGCAACAGGTTTTTACTAGATGTTGCAGCACTTTTGCATTAAGGCTCCCTGCCCTGTATAATTGGAGATTTAACAGAGATACTTATGAGGCTTTCGATTCCCACTGCAGTGGCACAAAATACAGCATTCCCAGCAGTAATTGAGTGTTACTAGTCACAGATCAGGAATACCCAAGGTACAGAACCTTACATATTTTGATCTATTAGTAAGCATTCTGGCAGATGCACTTGGTCTTTAGTACATATGTGAAATTGGGAGATGTCCCTATTGCTCAAGTTGAGAGCTTTCCCTTATTGCAGGATATTGTTAGGTAGAGTAAACTGCTCATACCCGTCTTAACTTAGAGATTGCATTGATTTGCAGAGAGCCTCAATGTTTTAGCTTTTGATGGATAAGTTACCTCCATATAGTTTTCTTCACATACAATTTCTCTTGGAGCCCATGGAGTGTATGTACAATGCATAGGGTAGGTGTAGGTTGCAGCTTGCCTCATGTCTGGAGATGAGGACACCTTTATGTTTATAGTAAGAGAAAACAATTCATCTGCCTAGAAGAAACAGAGTGCACAAGGTAAGTTTTCTAGTAATTTAAGAAAGGACTTACTAGTTAGTGCTGAAATCTAATATTCTTGCCACAAACTCAGAGTATTGTAGCAAGTTACAGTTTAAAAAATTGGTGTCGGTCATAGGCTGCCTTCACTGAAAAGAGTGGGTTTTTTTACATCAGGATCACTATCTCTCTGCACTTGTCAAGTGGAGATGAGGCATTGGTAGTATTTATCTGGATGGAGCCAGTCATGGTCAACCCTATAACCCCCACCTGGCATTTACCTCAACTGGCTTCACCAAGATAAATACTACTGGTGCCTCATCACCACATAGTATTTCTTACATTGGGATAGCTCTCTCTATTTCATCTACGGAAAGGTCTTTTTGTCAGAAATCAGTACTTACAGTCCACTTAAGCAAAGATCTTAGTAGATTGCAAAGCTAGTCATTATTCTTCACACCATTTCACCCTGTTTTATAGCAGAATGGGATCTAACCAGAACATTTTACTTTACTTGAGCTCAGGGCTTCTGTGACTTCCCAGCTCTAGGTCAAGTACTTAAGCAGGTGATGTCTCGTAGCCCAAGTATGGCAAGTAACTCATCCCCTCATTGTTACTATGGTTCTAAATCACACAAGCCTGTGACTAACCTACACCTGGTGGCGTGAGTTAGCAGGCACAATACCACTCAAATTAAGCCAGTAAGTGTCTGCTAGAATAAGGCTATGGATGCTGCCTTTTCAGCAGATGCCCACAAGTCTGCTGGTTTCCAGTGAGACTTTCAAGACTCCCCAGCAGCAACAAAGACAAGTTTGAACTGGCAGCCAGTTAGCAACAACAATCTGGAGTGTCATTTTATTAGGGCAGAGGAAATCCCAGGCCAGGCAAACTGACCCGGCCTCACGGTGGTGTGCAGAGGCATCAATCTTCTCTCCTCCATGCAGTCAGCACGCCTTCTCATGTTCCCATCATACCCCATTGAGAAGTCTTATAGCATCACAGTCTTATGTGGTCAGGCTGCATTTCCTATAGCAACTATTTGGAGACCAAGCCTCCAGGTAGGCTTTGGGCCTCACCTTATTTGCCACATGACAGCCAAGCACAGAAGCCCGGAAGATAGTATTGCCCCACACATCTTCTGACAGGACATAGCCACAGCGAGCAGCCAATTTCTCATCAAGCAGAACTGTGCCACCAGAGGGGTCTAATGACAAGGAAAGGACACGTCTAGTGATTGACAAGAAACACAACGTAGGTGGAAAAAGCTAAGGTAACTCATCTGACTCAGGTACATCAAGGTCACACTTTCAGAGTGACATTTAGATGGAGTTACAACCCTCACCCCCATTCAGAAGATAAGTCTAAATTGGTCAAGCCAGCATGTTCCTTTAAGAAGCCAATAAGACCACTCCATTAGGGTGAACGTGACAACCCTATACTTTCACAAGACTCACCTATTATATTATTTTAGAGCCTAGTTCTCTGTTCATAGCAGCCTGTACCTCAGATGCCTTGAGGAGCCATTCAGGACAGTTTCCTGAAATATATTTAGTATTTCTATCAAGTCACCCAAATTAGGTGCTTATCTCTGTTTGACAGAGTGCAGCATTCTAGAGCTCAGATAAGAGGTACATTTTGAGTTGGAGGACCAGGCAAGTGTTTGAAGAATAGGAAGTGCTAAGGGAAAGCTCATTAGCAGGGGATATGGACTAGAGATAGGTCTTTTCTAGTGTGATAGGCTGTAAGGGCTTAATCAGTGACTGATTGATCCTCAGTTCCAATAACTTGTAGATTTAGTAACATTGCATTCAGAGAGTTGACTATTCCTCCAATTAAGGAGCTAATTTAGTCTAGGATTAGATATAGGAATCAAATAAGTCTTCAGAACAAATTATTTGGTGGCCTCAGAGTGCGGCCACCAACTCTTGCTGGTGGCTGCTCTGACAATATTTCCTAAATTACTTAATTAACGTTAGGAAAAAAATAAATATACACATCCAAAGCATTGTAATTTGTTTATTGGTAGCTAGTAAGTCTGCTGTGAAAAGTGATATTAACAAACATACAAGTATCACTTTTCACAGCAGACTTACTCAGCCCTGGCAAATTTGGGGACAAATTAAGCCCTGGATGGGAGGTCAGGGGAGGCAGTGGGGGCCAGGGAGGTAGTGGTGGGGAGGTAGAGTCCAAAGCCCCATGGCTGAAGGACAGAGCTGGAGTCTCATGGCCGGAGCCTGCCGCTCTGCTACCCCAGGACTGAAGCCCAAAGCGGAGTCCCACTGCCCCTGGGAAGGAAGGTAGGGAACTCACCAGCTACTCCTCTAGTGTTTTTGCCCCAGGTGTCTCCAGAGGGGGGGCAGGGCCCAACCCCTACTGGCAGCCCCAGAAACCAACACCAAGGTGGTATATCCAGGAGCACCTGGGAGCGGGAGTGGCCACTACTTCCCCCTGCCCCATCACAGCCCAGGAGGCTGTGGCTGCAGGAAAAAACCCTGTGGGCTGCATGCAGCCACAGTGGGCATATTTGAGAAACACTGATTCTAGTAGACACAGTTTAACTAGCTGCCATGCCCACTACTTCTATAGCCCCCATTACTAGAGAGTTTGAGCACATCACAATCTTTAATGTCACATGTCCCTGTCCTGTAGGGAAGTAGTATTGTCCCTAGCTATAGATGAGAAACTAAGTGACTTACCCAAGTTCTGCAGCAGAGTAGGGAGTTGAGCCCAGGTCTCTAAAGCCCTGCACAAGGGCCTACCACTGGACCATCCTTCCCCCAGTTTCTTAGTTACATTAGATGTAAGGCACAAAGGAGAAGGTGCCCATAGCTGTTAGTTGCACCCATTTATACAGCTATTGGCCAAGGCCACAGCTATTAGACCCTTGGTAAATCACATCACTCTGCTCCCACCATCCTGCCAGCTTTTTAAAATAAGTCACCAGCTAACATTAAAAGGGCAAGTCCCTCAGCAGCTAATGCACAGGCTCTGAATTTAGAGGCAATTTGAGAACTTCCCCAGTCTACCCCTGGTTTGAGGTCTGCCACTTTGCTACTCACCCATGAGCTCCAGACTGAAGAACTTTCCCTGCAGGAAGTGTTTGTCCAGTTTCACCCAAAAGATCCTGGAAGGGCAGCTGCTCTCTATGAAACCTGGGGTGGGGGCAGAGGAACAGAAAAGCCACGGGGGGCTAGAGAGCAGGCATACCAAGGCCCAGCCCCCTCTTCCCCCACAGAGAAAAGGGAAATGTTTGTGACAATCCCTTGTTGTCTCATTTCACCAACCTGGGGGAGCTGCCTGCACCGCTCGAGTCCTCCCTAGCCCGGGCTGGAGCCACAGAAGAAGCAGTGAGACTCTGCAATACAGACAGGCACTGGGGTGAATAGAGCAAACAGACCAGAAAGAGCAGGCAGGTAGGGGTATGGGATCACAGTCCCTTTACCTGTAGAGCAATCTGCCTGCAGTCTCCATGCTTTCCCACGGCCCCCGGTAAATGCAGTTGTGGGGCTGGATTGCAAAAGCTCCTCCTCTCTCTGGCATGCTCCACCTGGAGGCAGAGCCACCCTAGGGATGGCAAGGGGGAAGCTGCTTTTGGGCCTTGTTCTAGAGTGCGAGCCACTCTCTCCTGGACCCACACGGTGATTCAGAGAACAGGCATTTGTATTGGGGGCTGGCGGGGTGTTGAATCCTCTTGTATGAGCTGTTGAGGAACAGCAGACAGAGGAACTCACCACAGCTAGATGTTTGCAAGGTTAGTGTGCTAGGAGGCGCTGACACCTGGAGCAGGCCATTGGAAGCAATTCTTGCAGATCCTATTGTTTTGCCATTAGTTATGTAGCATTTCCCCAGGGGTTTTTCATGTTACTGCTAAATGTCCTGGTGACCCAGCAATGCCAGAGATAACAGCAGCTCTGTGACAGCTGCCCTTGGCTTTTGTGAGGCCAGTCATGCTTGCCCTTTGATTTGTTTGATCACAGTGGAGTGTTTTGATGAAAACTTTTCACTCCCTCCTGAAATGCTCAGCTGTAATCAAGGTGGTCAGATAGGTGTGGATTTGGTCAGTGATCAGCCAAACTCAACATGTTATAGAGAAGACAGAGGATGGTTTATTAGAAGTTGGATTATTGGGAACAACAGCATCCCCATGTGGAAATGGGATTGCTACCTGGGGAGGGGAATTGAGAACTTGTGTGTGGGAGGGTCAATCTGATAGGTCAAAACCAGGACTTTTGCAGTGGCTTGAATGAGTTTCACCTGTGGTTTCCCCAGGTGTGTGAGAGACAAAATATATATAGGCAGGTATTAGGGGGGTGGGAGTGAGGTACTGGTCTGTTGCATCTTATGCTGGGGTTATGTTCTGCAGTCAGCATGTAAAGTGAAAATCATGCATAGTCAAAATTACATTGAGTGTAATGGTGGGTGGAATCACCCGCATTACAGGTACAGTATTAAAATTGTTATTTTTCTCTTTTTTTGTTTTGTTTTTGCTGACCCGTGTAAAGCTGAAATTGTGCATGTTAAATGCGTGTAAGATGTGACAGACCTGTAGTACAATAAGGTTAATGTTCTTTTCCCTTTGAACTAGAGTGTAAAATCTGAATAATGGTGGTGGTCTCCCCCTCATTTTGGGGGATAAGAACCCCCCTTAATACAGCTGGGGCCTCATTCTTGAGTATTAAATTAACTCACTTGTTTGAGTATCAAAGGGGTAGCCGTGTTAGTCTGGATCTGTAAAAGCAGCAAAGAGTTCTGTGGCACCTTATAGACTAATAGACGTTTTAGAGCATGAGCTTTCGTGGGTGAATACCCACTTCTTTGGATGCAACTTGTCACTTGTTTGACTAGATCTATTTTTTTTTTAACAAGGTCAGTTTTATAATTGTTTCTTTTTATGCTGGAGAAAAGCAAAGCCATTTGCATCCAGGATATGGTGTTTTGCATGTCTGCCTCCCCTTCCATCTCCAAGAACTTCCAAAGTAATGAATTAATTCACACCACTGTCCTGTGAGGTAGGTATACTCCCTTTATGTAAGTGAGGAACAGACAGACACTGTAATTCAATGATTTCCATAATCCTTGGGCAGAGCAGGGACCTACCAGTCTCCTGCTATTGTGCTTTGTCCATAGGACCCTTTCCCCTTCAGTAGTGCCTGAGGCTCTAATCGTTTAATGAGATCCACCCAAGCAAAGAGATCTGCCCACATAGAACTCACTGCAGGCTTTGGGCCTAAGCCGGGTCTATTCTAATTCTGCTTGCACTGTGACTCACCTCAGTGCCTCTTCACTGAAGCAATTGTACATGGACTTGTGCTGGGGACAAATGTGCTCATACCACAGTGGTGAGTGTGACATAAGAGCCTGCAGCTTTTGAATTTTGAGTGAAAATGTTGGTGTGAGTGGAGAGCAAATTGTTCACACTACAATAAGCAGCTTGGGAGAGACTTCCTGTGATGCTGTAAATCTAAGTTTGAGGAAACCAGGGTGGACAAAGGGAATTTACAGTTGATTCATGGGGGAGCAAGGACAAAAGAGGCTGCACTTCAGTGGTAGGGTTACCATATTTTGAGTGTCCAAAAAGAGGATACTCCACGGGGCCCCAGCCCCGCCCCCAGCTCCGCCCACGCCCCAACTCCACCCCTTCCCCTGCTTCCCGCGAACATTTGATTCGCGGGAAGCCTGAAGCAGGTAAAGGGGATGGGGGGAGGAGGCGCAGCCCAGTCTGGCGCTCCCCACCCCGGCGTCTCCAGCCTGGGTCGGCTCGGGCCCTGGGCCAGCCCCCGGCCGAGCACCCCCGGCCCAGCACCGTCGGCCCGGCCGCTGGCCGGCATGTCCTGATTTTCCCGGACATGTCCGGGAAAATCTGGACGTATGGTAACCCTATTCAGTGGTCGATGAGCTGATTCATGTGTATAGTGCTTTGGAATCCTTTGAGTTGAAAGGGACTGTGTAACTAGAACCCTGTTTCCATGTGGGGCTGGAATGGAGTTTCATATTGTATAATAGAGCTGGAAAATTAACAATGACCACTGACTTTAATCAGAGCTGCAAATACGCAGTAACTCTCTCAATCAGGCTTGCTCTTAGTGGTTGGTTTTTTTTTTTTTTTTTAAAGTTCCAATCCTTTCAACCAGTGTTTAACTTTCTGTCCTTCTGTGGCAATGAATCACACAGATTGCCTAAGTAAATATTTTTTGGTTCTAAGCGTACAGCCCTTTAGTTTTAATTCTCTCTCCTTTTGCTCCTGCTATAGGACAGGTTAAAGTGAAGGGACTGAGTAGTTTTCACTATGTCCCTCACTATCATTTTAAGTCAGCCTGGTGCTCTGATATACTACAACACAATAAAGGCAGGGAGAGACCAGTATGGAATAGAACAGTGCTCATCCTGGGATGGGCTAGATGGTAGTAACAAGATAGGGGTCTCTGAAATTTGATTTTAATGAGCCAAATTCCTACACTTTGCTATATGTATGCAGGAAAAGCCAGGGGAAGGAAGGGGATTGTGGGGCATGGGTATAGTGATACTTCTGAGATACAAGGCATGACCCATGAGTTCTAGCACATACCCCTCCCCTTGTTCCCATTGAGTGTCTGTGCAGCACGCATTTGTGAGCTGGCCAAAACATGCACTGCACATTCACAGCATTAATCTGCAGCCACTGAAGAAACAAGAAGAGGATTAACGAGGGGTAGGATTTTGGGCCCTTTGTTACTAATATTGCATGTTTGCATGCTTTCTCTCGCTCAGCTTTTGTTAGGCCATGTTAAAATACATGTAGCCCTAAGGTGGCAGCAGAGAGCATGTTATCTGGCAATTGTGCTGCTACTGGGAGATAGTGTAATCCACCCTGAGGTATAAAATGTGCTTATATATTCCTTGCACATTCTCCATATGGAGTGAATTTAGAAGTATTCTCATCACAGTCAGGAAGATTCCATATGTTGATATAACAGAGTGACTAACCCTTTTTCTGTTTTCAAGGTAAAGATTTTGGCTATAATAAATTTACTTGTTCCTGTATAGAATAGTGTCTTACTATAAAGTGGTGGCATAATAAGTGGTGGTGTGTGTGTGGGGG